ACATGTCAAAACCTGAAGACAACCAGAGGAACACAAATATGAAACCATCATACCGTTACTATAGCGACAATGTTATTATTGTTATGGTTCTTTGTTTGTTTTCTTTTACTGTTGCTTTGGTAATATGAACATTATTCTTTCATGCCAATCAAGCCACTTTGAAAACTGACATTTGAAAATTGAGAGAGAGAGAATCAATAATGAATTTAGGGCTGTCCCCAACTAACGATTTACATGGTCCAATCAGAATTGTCAAGTCTTGCCCAAAGTCGACTGATAGTGGAATCAGTGTGTGTTTGTGCACGGCGATTGTGGGGGATTGCAGCCTCTATCATCATTAGTCAGTGTAACTTACATTGTACATTTAACGTTACAGATAAACTGAGGCTTGCTGTTGATCATTTCCTCTCAGCTCTGCTCGCCGGCCTTTCACCGGTCTTATGCAGAGTTTTTCATGCGTGCCGTGCGGCCTACAAATGCATGCACGTTGTGGTTCCTTGCGGGTCAATTTCAAGTACTATTTAAAAATAATATAATATTCTTTCTCCGCGACCCTGTACGCAGGATAAGCAGTTGACGATGGATGGATAATATTCTTTGTGAGGTTTATCAATAGTGATAAATGATCCGAAAGTCCCGCGAGGTGCGGACAACTCGGCACAATAGCGGGGACGCAGGGGCTCCATCTCTCTGCCACTACCGCAGAGCTAGACTGTATATTAACTTACTGGGAGAAAACTGGTAGTTCTATGTAAAAACAGACATTGAGCTCCCGCATATCGCCAAAATGCCATGATCCTCATTTTGATGCGAAGTTTCGACTGTGAGATTGACAGTCGAATCAGACTCCGCCCATCGAAGCATCAAACCTTTGACTATGTGGGTTCAGCCCTAAATAAATTAAACCTGAATATTAATTTCTTGATCACTTCCTATTTTCTGTATTTTACTATGATGAATGGCCAGTTTTGTCTTTTCTGAAAATGTGACCTAATTAAAGAAGCTTTTATCTTTTGCCATAAAAAAACACCAAAAACTAAACCTGTACAACAAACAAAAAAACATGAATAAAATAATGAAGTTCAGTACAGGAAGAGAAAGAGGCTGACAGGAAGACAGAGAGACTCCAGAGAAAGATGAGTTACTACCTTGTAGTTTTGTTGAAGCATCATTGGTTGTTGATTGTGTATTTTCAGTTGTTGTTGCTGGTTTAGTTGTTGTTGTTGGTTTAGTTGTTGTGTTGTTGTTGCTGGTTTAGTTGTTGTTTTTGTTGTTGCTGGTTTAGTTGTTGTTGTTGGTTTAGTTGTTGTTGTTGTTGCTGGTTTAGATGTTGTTTTTTTTGTTGCTGGTTTAGATGTTGTTGTTGTTGTTGCTGGTTTAGATGTTGTTGATTTAGTTGTTGCTGGTTTAGTTGTTGTTGTTGTTGTTGCTGGATTAGTTGTTGTTGTTGATGCTGCTGGTTTAGTTGTTGTTGGTTTAGTTGTTGTTGTTGTTGCTGGTTTAGTTGTTGTTGTTGTTGTTGGTTTAGTTGTGTTGTTGTTGCTGGTTTAGTTGTTGTTGTTGCTGGTTTAGTTGTTGTTGTTGTTGTTGGTTTAGTTGTTGTTGTTGTTGCTGGTTTAGATGTCAGAGATATTGCGAGAGAAAGAAAACAAGAGTAAAGTTCATCACTGTGAAAAGTCATCAAATAAACAAATGTTTTGGTGGTTTTAATCATCTTGAACAGGGGTGTGTTTCCCAAAAGCATCGTTGCTGACTGCGGTAGCAACTTCCTTGGTTGGAACTTTGCAGTTGCGACGCAACTGTTTCCTAAAACCCTAGTTGGAACTACGGAGGTAACTAAGTTGGTAACTTACACGGTACGAACCATCGTTAAGCGACGCAGGTGTTCCCTGAAACCATAGTTCAGACGAACGTTCGCACCAACTGTTGTTAAGTTGCATAGTTGGAACTACAGCTCCTGACCTGTGGTTAGAAGCTTAGTTCACGGTGACTACGTCACAGAGAGCAGAAAATGCAGTGTTAGGAGGTGGATGTGATGTGTTTTAAGCAGGGAATGTTAGATAATCCTGCTGTACAAACATGTTTAAGGTGAATTTAAAATAAATGTAGTTGTAAAAGTACTTTTAAATGTATTTGTGGGGTCATGGGTAGGGTTGCATTGATTCAGTAGGCTACTAAGTATCTCAGTGTAGACCATCTACAAACAGCAGGTGTTTTTCTCACAGATTACCCGTCTGCTCACAATAACTTAATTTAATATTAGTCACCCAGTACAAAGGTTAAAGGACAAAACGGAGAATGTAAAGACAAGACTTTTAATATTACCTACATGTATACGTTTCTGGGCCTCTGGGGAAGATGGGTGTTCTCTAGTCTTCATTACAAACATAAAAAGGGACAGCATAAAATCCATGAAAGTACTGTAATGAATAAATCCCTGAGAGTTTTCGTTGCCTTTATAACAAAGATAAATAGAGAACTCACGGGAGTCGTATCTGTCTCAATAGAGAACATGCGTAAGCTCAGACACTTAGCGCACTGAGCTGTTCTCAAAACCTAGATGTCAGATGCCAAGAGATTCATAATAGTGTTACAGTGTTGACACAAAGATACTAAACCTGTTTCACTAAATGTCTTGGAATCGCTAATAGTTCTTCAGTTATAGCCTATATTTAGGCTAAATAAAATGATTAGGTTATATATTATTTATATTATTGATTTCATTAATACTATTGTTGATTTTCTTGTTATTGCTGGTACGACAATAATATAAAAAGCCTAAATAATAAGTTAGCAAAATAATGTCACTTAATATCGGTCACAACTGACATATTTAGGTAGAATATGACGTTTTGTGAGTTTCGTGCTGTGAAAGTCAGACGAACACACCTGGAAACATGTTAGTTCGACCTACGTTGGCTCAAACTAATTAGTTCAAAGTATGAGTTTAGGGAAACGGTCGTATTTCAGATGTTTGTTTGTGTAACGATGCATCGTACCAACATAGTTCAACGTTACCTTACGTGGTTGTTCGGGAAACGCACACCAGCTCAGCATATTCTCACCTGTTTTCTCACCTGAGGACTGAGGGCTGAAGGTGAACAGCTGCACTTTTCCAGAGTAACCATCTGTCACTTCACACTTCAAGTTAGACTTTGATTTGTTACTAAAATAAAATCCGGAAAGACACAGCGGCGTAGCAGTCAGCTGATGTTTCATTTCTTTGTTATCTTTGTCCACATCTTTACCCTCATACAGCCACTTCACTGTGTGTCTACAGGACTGTTCACGTGTCGACACAGAGCAACAGTGTCACCTTATCAGCGTCCTTACGTTCAGTCACTGGTGAAGATGGAGATATTGTGAGAGAAAGACAACAAGAGTAAAGTTAACTTCATCACTGTGATCATAATTATTGTAATGTTTCAGTATATTGTTCTAACAAGACAGTTTGAGCTGAAAACATTATGATGGAAATACTCACTGATAATAACAGACAGATAAACCAGAGAGTTTTCACATGTTGTGTCCTCCTTTGTTATGAACTGCTGACAGTCATAACGTCCAACATCCTCGACTGTGACCTTCTTTATAACCAGAGAACAGTTCTCTGTAACACTCAGTCTGTCTGATTTAGCTTTGGTGTTTTCACCAATCTGTCCAAGTTAACAGCTCTACTGCTGCTGTTTCCTGAACCATCAAAGATCCATATAGTATATTCACAGTTTTTCTGACCGTCTCTCACATTTTCACAAGGCAAAGTGACGTCATCTCCAACTCTGACAGTGAAGGAGGGGGGAAGTTTTTCAGCTGCTGCTGTTGAGAAAATGATGAAAAATAAAGTGAAATGAGAAAATGTCTGTTATGTTCATAGTTAGTGACGATTATTTCTTTATCCTTAGTTTCCAAGAGTTCACTAAACTCACCACATTAGAAACAACAGATTTGGTTTTCTTAGTTAAATCAAATGTAGCTAATAAAGAATCTTTAATAATATTGATCAAGTTATTTTTTACAATGTGCCTTCCATTTATATATGTGATATATGTATTCTTACCTGTAAACTGAAGCACCGCTGTAAGAAATAAAGAAATCCATTTGAACTCAACCATCATGATTCTCTGAGTCTCTCCTTCTTCTGTCTCTTGTTCTCGTGCTCAGAACTGTCTGAGTTTCTAAACTAGTGCTTTAGTAGAGAGACGCAGCAGCTACTTCCTGTGGTTAGGATGATGTCACTTCCTCATAGTGACTTTTAGTCTGTTTTAGATTTCAGTCTCTCTGAATTTCTTGTCGATGTCCAAACAGCCAAAAACTCAGTTACAGTTTTCACTTTTACATTTTGAAATATAGTTTTCTCTCATCCACAGTGACTGACAGAGACCCCAAATTCCTGATCAGCAACATGAGATGCAGCCATCAGAGTTCACACTTTGGTCATTCAGGTCTATTTGTGACAATGACGTGTTTCACCAAGCGAAAAGAAGAAGAAGAGGAAGCAGAAGGTGTGAAGATTGTTACTTAAAATAAATGTTTGCAATGATGCAACTTGTTTTCTTCAGATAGTGTTTATTAGAAAACAGACAGGATCCATGGTGATGTTTGACAGCACACATGAACAGACAGGTGAAGAGTCAAACTCCTCTCCCACCAGAATCTGACTCCTGATGTCCATGGTGCAATATGGTGATACTGTAGCAGCTGCTGAAGAACACAGATAAGATGATATTTTACTGCTCTGAGATCTGCTGGTTCCTCATTTCATCTTTGCAGCCCTTTTTTTTAAGATTAAGGAAACTCAGCAGAAGTTGAATCAGGAAGACATCGTTCATGCTGACTCCATTTCTCCCCCGCCCCCTCTCTTCCTTTTTTCTGCTTCCAACTCCGTCATTAGATTGAGGGCGTTCATTCTTTCAGTTAAACCAATCAGAATTTGCCACAACCTCTGTGAGCCAATCATATTGTTGCTGTCAGACTTTCAAACTGTCTTTTCTCTCCTGGAGGACCCCGACCAGATAAAAGACTGCAGCATCACTCCAGCTCCAGGCCTCCCTCCCTCTCTCGCTCCAGCAGCTGGTGGATCAAGCAGTCTTCAGTGATCCCACTGAGCCCTTCACATCCATTCTGGTTCTGGCCTCTGTGGTCACAGCCCCTCCACCAGGTAGGCCATACATCCCTCTCACATTTCTTAAACTCTCCTGTTCCTTTTCCTTTTAATTCCTCTTTAAGCCTCTTTTTCATTTAAGTCTCTCCTGACTGAGCTGAATAGGAAGTGTTTTGGTGAGAATGTGGACATGAGACAAACAGGCGTTTATCAAATTCTGATGAAAACTACTTTAACCCCTGGATGTCCTGGTTTTGGTTCTGAGTTTGGTGATTTCCTGTTTTCTTTTGTTAAATCCTTCCTCGTGGGTCTTTGTCAGTTCACTTCCTGTCCTTGAGTTGATTTTTGTTTCCACCTGTGTCTCGTTTCCTCCACCTCTCTTGGGTATTTAAGTGTGTGTATTCCTTTTTGTCTAGTGTTGGCTCGCCTGTGTTTTACAATAAGCACGCCATTTGTTTTACTCTGGAATTTGGGAGTTTTACCTGGCTAGGTAACTGAAAAATGTTCAAATCCAGGTTTGTTGTTTCACATGTATGACTACTACTTTATTGAACGCAGATTACATTTCATTCACAGTTAACATGAGCTAGAGGAAATGAGATGTTTGCTTAGAAAAGAGTAAGTTGAAAGTTAAAACTTGAAATGATAAGAATTATGAATTAGAGATGATAATGCAGACTGTATTTTATGATAGTGTCTTTGGTTCTGGTTCAGCATTGTGTGGGTCTGACTTTCTACAATACTTGGTGACTCCTGTTTGTGGCACCCATGAACTGGTGAACTTGATTCATCCTCATCTACAGACTGCAGACATTACGTTAAACAAACAAGGAGATTGTAACTTTGTAAAGGTGCTTACAGACCAAAAGCAAAGTGAGCGTTGTGGGCGCTGCGTTTACATACAAAGTCAATGCAAAGACACATAGCGCTGCGATTTCCTGTCGGATGGAGCGAAGGCATGAGCTGAAAATGTTCAACTCGAGCAAGAAAGTCGCAGCGTTCAGCGTTGGGATCATCCTGACATCACCGACAGATTCAGAGCGTTGTGTGGAGAGGGCCAGGCAGAGCGGGGGATTGAAATGCTGCTGGCCGGAGGAGAGCTGCTACACTTGGAGAAGTCGAGGACAGAGCAGAGAGCAGCGCTGCAGCTTTTGGACAAATAAACACCCGCGGTCGGTTTGGATTACACTCTGACAACTACGCCGTTTACCCGTGGGAGGAGCTCGGAGTAAACTGCTTTTCTTAAATTAGCTTTTCACTTTAGTTTTGCGGATGACAACGTTGATTTATCTTCACTCGAGCTTCTCAGCAGCTAGCTTCCGTGCACATCTGGTCCACTGTTGTTGTTAGCGTCGGTCGGCACCCAGAGCTCTGTTGGACTAATGCTTCATATACAGGTGAAACTCGAAAAATTAGCATATCGTGCAAAAGTCCATTTATTTCAGTAATTCAACTTAAAAGGTGAAACTAATATATTATATAGACTCATTACATGCAAAGTGAGATATTTCAAGCCTTTATTTGATATCATTTCGATGATTTTGGCTTACAGCTTATGAAAACCCCAAATTCAAAATCTCAGAAAATTTGAATATTATATGAAATCAATAAAAAAAAGAATTTTAAATACAGAAATGTCAGCCCTCTGAAAAGTATAATCATGCATATGTACTCAGTACTTGGTTTGGGCCTCTTTTGCATGAATTAATGCCTCAATGCGGCGTGGCATGGATGCTATCAGTCTGTGGCACTGCTGAGGTGTTATGGAAGACCAGGATGCTTCAATAGCGGCCTTCAGCTCTTCTGCATTGTTTGATGTCTTTCATCTTTCTCTTGGCAATGCCCCATAGAGTCTCTATGGGGTTCAGCTCAGGCGAGTTTGCTGGCCAATCAAGCACAGTAATCCCATGGTCATTGAACCAGGTTTTGGTACTTTTGGCAGTGTGGGCAGGTGCCAAGTCCTGCTGGAAAATGAAGTCAGCATCTCCATAAAGCTCGTCTGCTGAAGGAAGCATAAAGTGCTCTAAAATGTCCTGGTAGACGGCTGCGCTGACTCTGGACTTAATAAAGCACAGTGGACCAACACCAGCAGATGACATGGCTCCCCAAACCAACACAGACTGTGGAAACTTCACGCTGGACTTCAAGCATCTTGGATTGTGTGCCTCTCCATCCTTCCTCCAGACTCTGGGATCTTGGTTTCCAAATGAGATGCAAAATTTGCTCTCATCAGAAAAGAGGACTTTGGACCACTGAGAAACAGACCAGTTCTTTTTTAAATAATAATCATCAAAATTATATCAAATAAAGGCTTGAAATATCTCACTTTGCATGAAATGAGTCTATATAATATATTAGTTTCACCTTTTAAGTTGTATTACTGAAATAAATGAAGTTTTGCACGATATGCTAATTTTTCGAGTTTCACCTGTATATATAAAAGACGGACAAAACTGAACATTGCTTGGAGAAAAGAAAGCGAGGAAGTTGGACTGAAGCTGACTTGCTGAAAGACCTGACAAAGCATGAATTCATATGTTTAACAAATCAAACAGTTTGATTTATTTAGTTTAGTTTATTGCAATTAAATCCCAACAAAATGTTTACTTTGGTTTCATACAGCTGTAGTAATGGTGAGTTGTGTTTATTCGCGTTAAAGCGTTGAAAAGATTAAATTTGCTTTTTTAAATATGTTTGGTCTGAATGCAGGATAAGAGCTCAGTTCACTGAGGCAAACACCTGCTGTTTCCTTTACGACCTGGAAAAAAAGTTGACCCCTCGATTGTCACTGTATAATTCGCACTCTGTCTGAATCCTTGCTTTATCTGCTCCCTGCCTGACGTAACATGACACTGGAAGGTTAGAGGTCCTCCAGAGGGAAGGTTTACTACTAGAAGGGGACAAGAGGAGGGAGGTGGTTCTACTAGTAGAGGCAGAACATTCATAGTAAAGAATATTCACTTTCCATTATGACACCGTTAGTACATGAAGGAATCACAAACACAATGTAGACTAAAGTGGTGAACATTTCTTTATTTGCAGTTTATATTGTTATCAGATATAATAAAGAGGAGACTGTTACTAGAGTTAAATGCTCGTTCCAAATGGAAAATTCACACAGCTGCTTCCCCCAAATCAGTTTGCCTCCTTCGAATATCATGCTGACTTGCTGTCCGTTCCGGTAAAGGTCTGTGATTGTGACCGTCCACCAGGACAAGTGCGTAACTTTGTGGACGAGCTGGACACGCTGCTGTCTTCAGTCCCAGAACATGACTGTTCCTTACTTGTCCTCGTTAACATGAACATTCACTGATACAAATCAAACTCAGCAGGCTTCCTGTCTCTGATTCAGTCCTTTGATCTAACACGGGTTCGCACAAAGCTGGCAAGGTGCTGGACCTCGTTCTTGTCTGAAACTGTGCCACCGAATGCCTTACAGTCACACCTCTACACATGTCTGACCACTATTTCATCCAGTTCACAGTACGCCTACAGGAACAGCCCATTGTTCCAGCACCTTATGTCTCACACCGCCACAACCTGTCTCCCACTCACTTTGCCTCAGCGGTAGCCTCCGCTCTACCTCCCCTCAACACATTTTCCTCACTCGAGGTCAATGATGCCGCACAATCTCTGTGCTCTACACTGAGCTCATGCATGGATAGCCTGTGTCCTCTATCCACCAAACCTGCTCGCCAGAACCAGTCCTGCTGTGTTCTGAACTGGCTGCAGAAAATAAAGATTTTCACAACTGATGCAGGAAAAGTGTAAATACCAAACAAAATACAATAATTCCACTTTCATTCCTCGTACCACATTTGCACGGTCAAAAAACTGTTTGCTCCTGTCAGAGTTGATTAAATCAACTCTGGTGCAGCCAAAGTGACAGCGCCATGGCTACCCCTGGTGGCAGGAGGTTTGCCAACAACAAATAATAAACATTAAACCAAATGACTTTTACAGTTACTGTTACCTGTTTCTGCCACTGAGAGAGGAAGTGTTTTTGTGGTAAAGGACATGCAGAAGGAAATTAACTGAATAATTAAAGTCAAAGAAAATAAATAAAGTATATTAAACCAAAAGGAGGCTACCCCAAACTGTCACATGTTCCTCCAGCTGACTGACCAGAGAGGGAGTGTTTATGTGGTACCCCAAATCCAAAATGTTCCTCCCAGTTTACTGTTGATGTTTTGAAACAGAACACAGTTCACAGTTGAGTCAGCAGACCCTGAACTAGGGCTGAAACGATTCATCGATTAAATCGATTAATAAAATGCATCGATTCTTCGTTTAATCCATATAACTATACAGCACAGTGTTTCACACGGACATTTATTACTGTCGCACATCACGCTTACGCTGTGAACACGGCGTCATTATTATGTGATTATTTCAAGCTAAAGAAAACATCAACTCTGTAATGTTACCGTCCGTCCACCGCAAAACGAAACTTATGTCGCCTCGGCAACAGCACGACTGTATCTAATCAGAAAGCAGCCGGTGTTCTGCCAGCGGACCACAGACAAGGTATTCAAGTCAAGCCATGTCAAGTTTATTTATAAAGCACATTTAAAAACAACTGGAGTTGACCAAAGTGCTGGACAAGTTATACAGAAAAAGACATAATAAAAAACAAACAAAAAAAATCATACATACATACATACATATATAAATATGTAAAACCATAAAACCATAGCAAATAAAACAGGCCACACAATTAATGGCATACAGCAAAACAACGCAGTTAGATACAAAATAGATAAATAAAAACACAAGCGCAGGTGCCCCTAAACAGACTCAAAAGCCAAAGAATAAAAATGTGTTTTAAGTCGAGACTTAAAAGTGTGGCTGGCGGGGGATGATCTAATAATCAGGGGTAGATTATTCCACAGTCTCGGGGCCACCACTGAAAAGGCACGGTCACCCTTTGTTTTCATACGAGACTGTGGGATGGCTAAGAGGGAATGATTTGATGATCTGAGGGATCTGGAGGAGAGATGAAACATTAGGAGTTCTGAAATATAAGATGGAGGCAGTCCATGTAATGCCTTAAAAAC